CCGAAGGAGGCTGCAGAGATTTTTCCATTTTAAGCCGCAGGTCCCAGTCACAACAAAGCCCTGGTCTTGAGGCTTGCACAGTGAAGGCATTTTGCAGGGACGTGTGTTTCGCCAAGGCACTTCACACATCATGAGTGCCCATCAGACCTTGGCATGGAGTCCTGACAGGAAACACTTCTTGAATCCTGAAGCCCTGGGCATATTGAATTGGAAATGGCAGGGGAAAGTGTCTCTGCGGAAAACAAGCCTGAGGTGAAAAGGTTTTGTTTGTTTTTTTAAACTAAGTAACTAAACTGTGTAACTATTCTAAAGGAAGGGAAACAACTAGGATGTAACTAATAACTATTTCTATGTTCTTTGTTATTGTTTCCTACAAAGACCAGGGAAGAGAAGCAGCACTGCCCCGAGTCCCATCTTCAGCCTTGGACGGTTGAGAAGGAACTGAGGAGGGTGCGAGACGCACGCACTCAGGAATATTCCAACGAGACGGGAGATACCAACTGAGTGTATGCGTCCCGACCAGGCACTGCTACCGAAGATCTCTGATCAACGGCGCTGGGACACACTGTCACCTAGAGTGGGGCACCCACAAGGACAGCACTCGAAGAAGAAATGTTATTTCTCTGTTTCAGTGCACCGTGCAGCCAGTCAAACTTCCTTAAGCTCCCCGACCCAGGTTAGCCATGTTGCATTAGAACCAAGTGAACAAGCCGGTAACTATTCTCCCCAATTCCTCAGAAGTGTCGGGGAAACAATTTCCTAGGTGCTAGGCTGCCCCCCACCCTGTCATCACGATAGTATCTAAGCACCTCAGCCTTTAATGTACTCATCCTCACAACACCCTAGAGAGGTAAAGTAACGATACAATCTCTGTTTTACAGATTGGGAATTGAGACACTGAGTGTCAAAGGGTAGTGCCCAAGGTCATGCAGGAAGTCTGTGGCAGAGAAGGAAATGAATCCAGATCTCCAAAGACCCAGGCTAGTGCCATAACCACTGGACCTGCCCTCCTCTAAAATGTTAAGTTTAAACTTTCAGACGTTTAAATGCCTTTCCCATCATCCACCTTTGATCCCTCTTCCTAGGAAAAACCAGGAAGAGCAAGCAAACTTTGCAGTGTGACCCAAAGGTCAAATTCTCACCAGAACAGTCTCCTCCTCTCTGTCCTCAAAGTTACACAGGAAGCAGTTAGCTCAAGTGCCTCTGATCTCCATGGTATCACACCAAGAGAGAAGTATCTCCACCAGGCCCTAATGCAACTAAGGCTTTCTAGGTTAAAGACAATGACTTAAGTTGCACCAGAAAGCTATTACAAAGCTAGTGCCCCATGACCTGCACTAGTTTAATTTTTTATTTTTATTACGGTAGCATCCTAGCAGTGGACCATGACATTCGCTCTTCAAGAAATACCCCTCAACTAACAGTCTGCGGCATTCTGCATCCATTCTGCATAGTCCATTTTTAGGTGTTGCCCCACATGCAGTAATCCTATTATGACAATGGCCTGAATTGCTGAGAGGAGGTCACTAGACTAAGATCACTGCCTTTGTGTTAATTAAAAGGTGCTTTACCCACTGTTGGTTCCTGGCCACCTGGAAATAGCTGGAGATACAGGAGGACACCAAGTTTGCAAAACAGTAATAAGAGAACAGATTTCCTACAACAAAGGAAGCAAACATCAACCTTGCTATTTCTTGCAGTTGGCTCCCCTACAGCACAACCCAACTCTTCCAGGTTGAATCATTGTCAACTTACCCTAATCAAAACCTTGATCCTAGCAGGACGCTGGACAAGCCAACCAACCACACTAGCTAAGTCTAACAAAACAGAAATAGAGCCAAACCATTCAGAAGAAATCTCAGTCCTTCATTATCTCCACATTCACATAAATAGGGTGCGTGACAAGATAGAACCCTGTGGGACCTCACGAGAGCCCACAATGCAGCTGAACTGTTATCCAACACAACACTCCAGGTCATATGAAGGTGAAGAAACTGAGCCACTCAACAGCAACTGTATCCATGCCAGGGTCTCCAACTTAGCAGTAATACTTCACGGTCAATAGTTGAAAAGACAGCTGATAGACCCAGGAGAATTAGACGTTTTGCTTTCTTCCATCACCAGAAACCCAACCAGCCAAGGAAACCAGAGCTGCATCGGTCACATTCAAGCCTAGAACTAAATTGACCAGGATTAAGGAAAATTGAGTACTCTATGCACAAACAAAGACTCTTCACCACTTTCTAACCTTCTTTGGGAGATGGTTAGAGAGAAACTGGGTGGTAACTGGTAACACTATCAACTTCCAGAGAGGATTCTAACTGCTACTGTAAGAGAAGCTGGGACTGTGTCACTGCATCCTTCCAATCCCATCCTCAATAAGGGCCCCAATATCTTCACTGGCTGAGCAGCGAAGGGATTCTGATGCTACTCACAGGTGGTGACCAAATGCTCCTATAGCTTCTCCATGAATAAAAATGGCCAAAATTCAGAGTTTCTAAACAGAGATGGAACCATCCTATCCACAAAGAGCAAAGAAAACTCACATCAGTAAGCGAAAGTGATCTAGAAGAATAAAGCTGAGAAGGGCACATGGGAGTCTCAGTATGAATAGTTACGGACAAGAACCTTATGATGCCCTGCCAGGCTATCCACCGGGTGACCATATGGCTAGGAAGCATCCACCTGTAAGGGGCTTCTTATTCCAGTTCTATGAGCCACAGAGATTCAGACAGGTCTCCAGTCCAGGAGGGTATCTAACATTTTAGCTTAGAATGGGGATTTTAATGTCCATTTTTTCCAAGGGAGATCGTATTCTCTCCCTCTTGCCATCTTCCTTTAAATGCAGGAGAGTCAAAATTAGATTTACCACTTGGATACTTTTCACACTTGCGTGGAAGGTCTCAAGACAGCTAAGCCACAATTTTTGCATAATCTTGCTGAGACTTATTAACATATCTGTTTATATTATGCTGCTACATTAAAAAACAGCACATTTTATGTTACTGGTCCAACAATTAACCAAATACTGGTCCTACAGTAGGCTGCTCTGGAGTGGAAGTGGGTGTCTGGTGCATTTTTAAGAGCGCTGAGGAAGACCACCCCCATCTTTCATGATTAGAAGAGAGACAGGAAGTATTTACAAAAGCACTTCATGGTACTACCAATCCTCAATGCTACTTTAGATTAACACAATACTAAGTAGCAAAGTCTGTTGCGCCTGACCAGACGTCCTGATATTAGGGGCTTTGTATTATACAGGCAACTATATTCCCCGCCTCCCAGAAAAAATATCCCAATTTCTCACACATGTTATCTGGTCATCCTAATTGTGCATCTAAATCTACGATGCTTGTGTCCCCCTAACCTTTCAGATTAAGCAAAAATATCCTAGAGGAAAACAATATATTTTTGATGATTCCATTAAAGCTACGGAACCAATTTCCTTCAAGCTTGGCTTTAGTGAGCTCTAAGGCGCAAGCAAAGTTTGAACAAAGCGGTGTCTGCTGTTGTATGTTTCAGAACAGTAGTTCTCAAGCAGGGTTACATATACAGAGGTATTTCAGGGGGTAGATCAACTCATCTAGATATTTGCCTAGTTTTACAACAGGTTACATAAAAAGCACTAGAAGTCAGTGCAAACTAAAATTTTATACAGAAATGACTTGTTTTATATGCTCCAGATACTATACACTGAAATGTAAGTACAATATTTATATTCCAAGTGATTTACTTTATAATTATATGGTAAAAAATGAGAAAGGAAGCAATTTGTCAGTAATCGTGTGCTGTGTACTTCTGTATTTTTATGTCTGATTTTGTAAGCAAGTAGTTTTTAAGTGAGATGAAACTTGGGGTACACAAGAAATCAGATCCTGAAAGGGGTGCAGAGAACCACTGCTTCAGAACACATTAGGAAATCATTTTATTTTCCACAGAATTAAAAAAAAAAATTCATTTTACTGAGAAATTCCTAGAAGTTTGCCGAGAAGCAGAGCACAAGCATACTAAGTTTCAGAATTTGAGCCAGTCAGAAAATGAACAAGGTCTTGCAATGGAAGCACCACTTCAACTGAACATCTCAGTACACTGGGTAGTTCTGCTCCCACTAAATGTAACTGATTCTACTTAAACAGAAAATAAGCAATGCACGCCCCAGACCAGGAGCAGCTGTCTGCAGCAAACAATGCTGTTACCAGATTACACTGCAAAACTAATAAGAAAACAGACTGGCCATTTCCTAACACCCCCGCCTCCCCTATTCACAGCAAAATCTCAAACACATGCACACAGCCTCTTGTCTTCACAGGCAAAGGCCCAGGTTTGCTCCTAAACTACATTCCCCACATGACAGTTACATGTTTTGCCTCCTTGCTACCATGCCAACCCTTGTTTTGACTCCTCACAAAGCACACAAAAACAGACCACTGAAGTTTTATGTAAAGTTGGGCTGGCTGGAACCAATATATTTGCATAATAAAATCTTAACAGCTGGTCTACCAGTCTCCATCTGGAAACCTGCCCAACAGAAATGAACAACTGCTGAAAAGCCAAACACCAGGGGGGGGGGGGGGGTTGTTTAAAGGCAGATGTAAATTAACCCAGCCTAACCAAGCCATGGGTGGCATAGAAGTCTTCCACACTTATAACAGAACAAAGCACAGTTTTGCTGAAGGACATAAATCGGTGCTGGACAGAAGCCCTAAAAGCAATAGCTTCAGCTTGCTTTGGGTTTCCAATTAACTCTTTAGTACAAAAGCAAATAACCAAATGCCACTCCCTCAGCTATAATATGAAGAATCTTACACATCCATTAGCAGAAGCATTTTTGCTTGCACCTAGGGTGATCATTTTCATCTTACTGGTGTCGTTAGCGTTTGACGTTGACAACAACACTGTGCTGTGGTGGAGCATACTCCTAGTGCTAAAGGATTACGCTGCTCTTCTGGCTTCCATCAGGGCTTCTGTTTAGTATGTTTATGAAGCAAACTGAAACCAACCTTTGTGTTTGCTGCAATCCAATTGGAAGTTTCACTGTCATCATCACACTTCTTAATCCACTTCTTCAACCACTGTTCAGAAAGTGAAAAAATAGAATCCATAGACTTTATACAGTTTAAATCTATCTTGCACAGACATTACATTAAGCTAACACTAAGCACTTAACATAAAAAGGAGAGCTGCAAAGGTACACCTGAATGACATCATTTGCCAAGCAGGGTGGAGTGAGCTTTAACTTGACAATTCCTTTTGTGGCAGAAAATTAGTTTGCCAGAATCACTAGATAAACCCTGGAAAAGAGTATTATAGAACCACAGAATGCCATTGGCTAGGGACTGCATTACTTGTGAGTCCAGAACAAGAAGTTTTTGGAAGGTAAGCTCCGGATGTAACTTGCTTCTGTGCAGGCTCTGCCCCAATACCAACATGGTCCAGTTAGTAGGAGCACACAGACTAAAGTCTCAGTTTCCCTTTGCTATTCTACCAGCTAAGAAAAGCAAGAAAAGAGTACTAACGCTATCTTTTTGCTCTTACACATCAGCTGTAATATTCTGGCAGGCTGTACAACAGGGTTGCTTTTCTTCTCTAATGATGTGTATTAACCCGATTTGCTATGTTGGGTCTCTGGGGATCTCCATGCACTACATTCCATCGACTAGCAATGTTCATACATTTCTCTGCATAAACTCAAAGATGCAAAGCCTCCACAGGATAAGTCTCCTACGATGTCCTAGCTACTTATGTCATGAGAGAATTACATATTATTCCCTCCCATAAATTGTTTTTTGTATTAAAGCTGCTGAATGTGTTGCATTTGAGATGCACATTGGGGCTATTTGGAAAGCCTGCACACCCTTTGCTTTCACATACTTCCCTACATTTCTAGGAGGAACACTGCTAAGTCAATGGATTTAAATTACTGAAGAAAAAAATGGGACTTCTTATACCGTGTAGATCAGGAACTGATTGAAATGGAAATGCTCATGGAAATGCTGATAAACTGAACTACAACCCCACCACCCTCCTTTACTGCTCCAATGGTAGCTAACTGCACTCATTCTTCCATTTAAGATCTTAGATTTTATTCTCTTTAGGGTATGGAACAAGTCTTCCTGTGTGTTTGCACAGCGCCTAGCCCAAGAGGGTCCCACAATCTTGATTAGGGCCTCTGGGTGCTACTGTATTAAAATAATCATCCATCTTTTCCACAGACTGTGCTAGATGGCAGGGGCACCTGAAATCAGGACCACTGAGATTCAATATTAAAACCAGAAGCAAGCTATGAGGTTACTAAGGTATTAAAGCACCCACAGGAGTGTTGTGATAACAGAAATACTCCTTGTAGAGTGAAGCGTTTATTCCGGAGGTCGCCCATCTCTACTGATGTAACATTATCCTACGACAACAGACTCTTCCACATAGCTGCACTAAAACACTCTTTTCATGAAGGCAACGCCGAGTGGTGACCCTGAAGACTGCTAACAGACTTCAGGTGCTGCTTGTTACTTCCTTGATATGAAGAGGGAGAAGCCTACAGTGCCCCTTAGTGTGAGCATAGGCGTAGTTCGACTTCTCAGCTCCAGTCAGGCCAACGGGACCACATGTGGGTGGGCAAATTCTGTGCCTGCCCAAGGCTTGCAGTTTGGAGGCAACGCCCCCTTTACACCTCCCCAAACTAAGCTCATAGGTGCGAGTGGTTATTGTACGGCAGCTATGGGCTCATACCTAGACACTGTAAATACCCACAGTACCACGCTACTTTGCTGGGGGTCCTGCAAGCAGTTTGACTTCCCCCTTTAGTTTTGCAAAGCCATGGGTTCAGCGAGGAAGTTGGACATGCTCACCTTGCACTTAACAGGATCATGCCAATTTTCACCGCAGTTAAAGCTGTACGTGAAAAAGAGAATTAATTCACAGAAGTTTAGCGATCACACTATGTAATTAAATCATAACTCTATTAAAAACTTACTTTTACAGTAGTTTTTGTCTTTTGGGTTACTTCACTGAAAGGGTCTGGGCACCAGATCTTGCTGAAGATAATTACTGTAAGCGTGTTTCAGTTAAACTAAAACGAGGAGTCCGGTGGCACCTTAAAGACGAACAGATTTATTTGGGCACAAGCTTTCATGGGTAAAAAACCCACTTCTTCAGATGCGTGGAGTCCACTCGAAAGCTTATGCCCAAATAAATCTGTTTGTCTTTAAGGTGCCACCAGATTCCTTGTTTTTGTGGATACAGACGAACATGGCTACCCCTCTGATACTCAGTTAAACTAGAATCCCATGCCCCCTGATGGGTGCATGACACACTTTAGAGTGTTCCCAAAGGGGCCTGGCTACTAACATTAGATCTGAAATGGATTAGTTTTCCATCCAGACGTATAAGGCTGCCTTGTAAAATAAAACAGACATCTGGACTCCTAATAAAAAGCATAATGCTGAACAAAAAAACTTCGTCTATGCATAGCCCTTCAAATGGCTAGAGGGGTATAAAAATGGACTCCTTGGTTTATAGGGAGTTTCTATGTCTAACTGTTTTCAGACTCCCCTCCGAGAAGTGTTTCCTCTACTGAACAAAATCTGTTTGAATGAGGTTAACTGCCCTAACAGTTTGCAGACTTCCATGTAATTCAGGTCTCAAGCAAAGTTCCTTCCCAAAACATTTCAAGAGCATTTAAAAACTTGTTTCTTGGCTTTTGGCTACAGCTGTTGATTCTCTCATTGAAAGTGAAAAGATCCAAATTAGGGTGAAAGCCCTTTAAAAGCACTTTATGCACAATATAAATAATAATCCTTTGCTATAGGTGCTCCACATATGAGGCTCTCTCCCACTTGGCAAACGGATTAATTCAGCCTTAACCCGCCTGTGAACATGAACTACCTTCACTTTAGATGGGATACCAAGGTAGAGAGAGGATGACTGAATTTTCAAAGGCCATTGAGTGAGTATGGGACTGACTTGATTCTCAGTCCTAGGTTTTACCCACAAGATGACCCTACATTGTTAACATGTTAATTTTGCCATTTCTAAAATGAAATTCCAGTAATTTATCAATACATTTCCCAGCTTTAGCTTTTAATTTCATACATGCCCATCACCAAGAGCTCACAGAATGATTTGGTTATGAGGGAACTGACTTAAGCAGCTTCAGTTTGCTCAACATTACTCCCGTTCCTTCGTTAAATGAATCAATTGAGGGAGAGAATCCAAGGGATTTGGAATTGCCCCAGAAATTTCTCTACAAGAGAGATTTCTCCCCGTCAGCTCCTAGACATTTTCACTTGGAAGACATTTTTATTTTCCAATTAGGAAGATAGGCAAGAACATTTTCAAATGAAGCAAAAGAAAGATGAACCACAAAACTAATCCTTGCTTTTAAAACCTCTCCCCTCCTTCCAAATGGTTACTAAGCTCTCCCCCCTCATATTGGCTCCTCTGGCACAAACAACTTCTCAAAAAGATATTTATACTGTACTTAACTCTTAACTTTTGAATGGTCCTTGAAGCTCTGAATTAATTCACAAGAGTGTTCTTACCAAAACTGACGTCCACATTTGCAGCGAACAGGTTTAGCATCAGGATACTGAACTTTAACAACATGGTGGCAGTCTGGGGCAGGACACCATTTTAACAGTCGATTACACTAGAAAATAAAGTGAGAAAACATGGCACGAAGAACTACCAGGAAAAGGACACTCACCCTAACAAATCATCCTTCCCCCCTGTATCCTGTTGTCCCTGTATCCTTTAACCTTGAGTGTCTTCAGGTATGTTTATGTTGCAATTAAAAAGCCACAGCTGGCTCATCCCAGCTGACTTGAGCTCAGGGGGCTCGAGCTGCAGGGCTGTTTAACTGCGGTGTAGACTTCCAGGCTTGGGCCAGCCACGGGTGTCCAACTGCAGTGTAGACATACTCTTCCTTCTTAAAGTCCTATCCACAGTGGCCTCGCGTGTCTGCTTATTCTACATGTTCACTCTATCCCCACAAAACAAGTGACTGAATAAATCAGTCAGTCAATTACTTCACTGTTGCGTCTCCTTTCTGAACAAGCAGTAGTGTGAACAGTTACTGCTGTCCCACTTTTATCTCCTATATTCTGAATGTATCTACTAGGCCACCTGGAAGATACTTTTCATGAGGCAAGTATAAAGTGTTTAAGCTTTCCTTTGGGGAAGTACTGGTCAAACTAACATCTGAGCAGTTTAGCCCCTCTCCCATTCTCTGTGCTGCAGTGATACCCTTTAAATGAAACACTGTCTACCTACAGCCGTGTTCAGGAACTCACATTTACAAGCCATACGTATTCTCAATCCCTCTGGTAACACATCCCACTGCTTTGTTTGCATTTTTACTGCAGCCACCAATGGACTTCTAGGACTTCTTCTAACCATTATAAACCCTTGTGCATTGTAACAACTGTGCATCTCCAATGCTACATCAGTGCAATGTCAAGAAGGCCGATTTAAACAAGAGTCAAGAAGTGAACGTTATTGTTTGACTGCAACCTTAACTTTCCCAAGCTATTTCTGATTACTGAACAGGCCGTTTACAGTATATCTGAATATTTGTAACACAGATGCAGTGAGGGAGTTAATACAATGAAAATTTCCCAACTTGCATCTTTAAATCTTAGTTTCTGTATCTAGGTTTATTCATTTATTTGTCAGTTATGGAGCCCATAGTTAACAGAACACTGAAATATTTTATTCAAAATAGTTATACATCATCATGTCTTACAGACTGACACTTGGGGTACCCGCTACATTTTAATGCTTGGTGTGTCCTGGTTTTGAGGCTGAAAAAAGCTTACCCAAATACACTGATTACCATATTGGAAAGACAAGAACCATTAAATCCTTCTCAGGACTTCTGTAACACTTACTGCATTTTGCTCATCTACTATGACAGTAATTTTCTAAATTTTTAAGTAATGTTCCATTGTCTCTCCCACTCACCCGCACATACCTTTCTGGGTCATGTGTCTTCCTGGTACACTGTGTTTAATACTTTCCCCATAATTGCACATAGCTTAAACGGTTTATAAACACTTGCTGCAAGAGCACTACCTTGTTACAACTGATTAGAACATCTCCTGTACAGAAGTCTATAGCCATTAAACTTGGGCAGCTCTTCATTTTCTGCTGACTTGGAGCATATTGCCAAAAAAAGAGTCGATGCATGTTCAGCCTTCAATGAAAAATGCCTGCTCATTTCAAGAAAGTGTTGCCATAGTAAAAGGAAAAATTTTTGATTACTAGCTCTCACATGCATATATCCTATCACAATTTAGAAATCTACATTGTCCCCCACCACAAGAGTACCTGACCTAATTAAAATGAAAAGGTGTTAAAAATGAGCCTTTAGACTTAAACAGAAGCAAGCCCCCGTCCCGCAACACCAACCATTGAGCCATAATTCAATCAAAAACGTGTCCAACACACCACTATAAATGGAAATAATCAAAGCTAGGTATCAAAGGGGTCTCACTGTATCTGTGTAGAAGAATAAAAAGATTAGAACAGAATTATTTCTTTCATGAAAGAAATTCAAATAAAAAAAACTCACCTCTACAAAACTATTAGTTATTAAATGCTGGTACTTTAATTTAACCTTTGAATCTGTGATCAGACGCCTATGGAAAGGAGAGAAATGCAGAAACATTCATTGTAGTAGAAAACTCGTTTATTTGCACAGTCAACAACTAAAGAGACAGTGTAAGAATGTAGTTGTTTTCCCATATGCTTGCAGTTACACAAACATGTATCAGGATCCACAATCCAGGAACACTTATCTGTTTCCTATTGTGTAACATTACAACACAATACAAACACTTTGAACCTTACTGCTTTCACTTTGGATTCTTAATACAGAAGCACAAATGAAAGTTGTACAGTTCAAGCAAGACTGTTTTGAGGAGCATACCTGCATTTTTCTCAGGCTTTCTTGAAGAGTCCAGGGGTACAGTAAACAATTTTGCTAGTTTCTATTAATGTCAGGTTTGCACGTTTCCTATAAACTGCTTTCAAAGGTTCCAGATTGCACTTGCTGCACTGGGGACCAGCACCAGGTATGCCCAAATGTTATTTGGATTTCAACTGAAAGTTAACGTTTAAGCTGATGATCATTAACAGGATATTGCTGATATAGTCATATACAGAAAGGCAACAAGCTAAAACTGCAAGATCAGCAAAATACATGGTCTTCTGGACAGTGGCAAAAGCAAATAAAAACTCACTAAGTTAATCATTTCAGTTGTTTTAGGGGAGTTTGGGAGCACTTTCAGTTATATTTATTGATCCAATCTGCATGATTCTGGGTTTTACAACTATGTTGTGTATATATTGAGCTTAGGACTGGTGCATTGTAAATAACGACATTAAATTATGTATTACTGGAAACACAGATACAAGACTTTAGGACTGTCAATCAGTTAACTCAAGCGATTAATGCAAAACAATTAACTAGATAACTAGTGCCAATATTTGTAATCAAAAATATGAAGTGACCACTATATACTTTGTACTCTGTGTTGTAACTGAAATCAATATATTTGGAAATGTAGAAAAGCATCCAAAATATTTATAATACTTTTACATCGGTATTCCATTATTGCTTAACCGACTTAATTGCAACCTTTTTTTTTTTTTGCAATTAATTGCAATTTTTTTTAAAATCTCACAATTTCCTTTTTTTTTTTTTTTTTTGGTAATTTGACAGCCCTAATGCCTTCATGTGTACAAGGCAGAACAGCTATGACTGCTTGAGGACTATGACTGAATTTCTTTTTTAGTATTTAAAATCTCAACCTATGAAGTTGGAATGATTTACACTTTGCACAAGTTATTGTTAAAAACAATCACTTTGTAATCACATACTGGAATAAACACGAAAAAGCTTTGAGTGATTTTACTACATACAGTACATGCACACCAACCTGTTTATATCTGGAGGGCCACTTAGAAGTAAGTAAATATTATAGTACCTAGCTCTTATATAGGACTTTCATCCATAGATGTGTGTTCATTTCATGGTGTAATCAAAGGAGCTTTCACATACTCATATTAATAATAAAGATTGAAATGAACCTGCATTGAAGTTCACCTCTGGGATGAGAATAGGAATGAGAAATTTCAGCCCCAAATTTTCCAAAAGCTGCACATAATCAAAGACAAAATTTAGGATGCAAGAGCCACCCCAAATGTAACTAGAATACAGCTAGTGTGACACTAGAATCCCTTATATGTGTTGTTTACCAAACCAGGCAAAGAAGCCACCTTCACAATTGCACCCTGCTCCTGTATGTAGGATTTGGAAGTGTCACCTTAAAGTGTCAACTACATTTCTATAGCGCCATTCACCTGAGGATCACAAATTCCCATAAGGTGGTGGGTGTTATTTGACAGACAAGGAAACTGAGGCAAACAGGGTCAGTGACTTGCCCACAGTCACAAATCAGTAGTTATTTGGAATAAACCCCATCTCTTTCCAATTCCCAGCCCCCATGCTCTAGCCAACTAGCCAAGCTTCCTTCCTTCCTTAACAAATTAAGTTACACATACAGACTGACCTCACTGAAGGAATCAAGCAGGAGAAGCAGATGCTTGACAATTTGTTACCCACTAACCTCTCCTGGCAACAAAGGGACGGGAAATAAATGCTATATACTGGGGGAATGTTTTTACAACAGCTCCATTAAACTTCACTTAAGTGGTCCTTTAACTTTGTGGTAGTTTTCTTTACCAGCTGATAAGGTTTAAAACATTACTACATTACCAAATTTCTTGCTGTCTAAGGAATTTAAGACCTAGAGCAGTAGAAATATAGCAGGATGCATATGATATGGAAAGAGATAGCCAAATTTGGATCATAGCACCCTATATTGAAAACTCAACTGGTGCTGTCTGCTCAGTAGTGGCCTCCTGACAATACTTTGATGAGGGTTAAGGGGCATGAGGATCACTAGTGACTGCAGACATGGTGCGGATAAAAATAAGGTCCTAAACCTGGAGTGTAAGCACTTCTGACTTGCTGCATCCTCCCCTTTTACAGAGTTCCTCAACACTGTCCTTTCAATTTTGTCTGAACTTTCTTAGCACCAAATGGGAACGAGACCTACTGTCGTACTATAAAGTTGTAGAGAAGCTGAGAAGGCAGATTCTAGCCAGTTGCTACTGGACAGCAGAAGCTACATGACAGCAGCAGCCATTTGGCACCAGTAATAAAGGCAGCTTGCTGTGCTTATTAATGAAAGCAACAACACTGCATGTAGGTTAAAGCAATTACCAGCAGCATTAGATAGGGTGAGGAAGGAATAGAACAGATTACCTTTAGCTGGTTTGAAGGTCTTGAAAGATTTAAGACAACCTTCTTCCTTCTCCCCCACAAGATCAATAGCTATAAAAGCCATAGGAAGCATAACTGACAAGAATATAGCTACACAGTGATGGATCTGGGAAAGTCTATCTTCACTGCTGAAACTGGCTTGCTCACAGGTAGCGAAGCTTAGAGATCCCACTCCTTCATAGACTGGGGGAAGGTAGAACTGGGTCTGTGCTTTCTCTGCTTTTATGGTGGTTAAAGAAGCCCCCAAAATTGTTTTTTCTTTTCAATATGCTTGCTTTTAAGAAATAGAAATTCAGATCCTGTGTAGTCTGGAAGGCTAAGGTTGGAGAGCTTGAGAAACGGTGACATCACATGGCCTAAGAATGGAAGTTGGTAGGGAAGGGCTTTTTAGTCAGACTATTAAAAACAACTTTTGTTTGCAGCTGTTTAATTCTAGTTACTTAATAGCTTGAAGCCTCTTAAAGGTTGAGCATCCTTCACACTTTCAGTTAAGGTGTTACACCTCCAAGACCTTCCAGAGATTAGGGAAGAATGGAAACAACAGGGATTTAAAATCCAAGTACTTGTTCAGCTAAGAGTAATTCCTGGGTGGAACTAATAGACATAGCTCCACTGCTACAAGCTCCTAGTGTAGATACATGCCTCTAGGGAAGTCTCATTTTGCACTGCTGTATTCTAAGTCACACTGGTGGGTAAGTTTGGATCCCAGTAATATAAGATCCCTACAAATAAAGTCTACTTAAAAGGTGGAATCTAAAATACTATGCAAAAACTAAAATTAAGTGTCACTGCAACACAACAATGTGCCTCTCTCCCCCCCACCACACACACACACACACACACACTATTTCCTTCCCAGTCATGGCTGGTTATGAAGACATTTAAGAGCAGCTTTCCACTTACTGTCAACCCGGTTCCCCTTTATGATTGACTCAATGATGCCTCCATGCACACTGACACTGCAATTCACTACCTTGGAAGCAAGTGATGTAAAACAACAAACTAACATAAATGAACAAGTCTGGCTCCAGGCAGGAGGAGCAGGCTGAAAAGGAGAAAGCTCCAATTCAGATGCTGATCTGGCATGAAAAGTTAGAATGGACGTAACTGAGGTTTAGGATTATGAAGGGTATATCTGTTCAATAATAAAGGTGTCACCTCACATAAAAACAAGAAAGGCAAACCCATAGAATTCATTGTCGCATAAGGCTGCAGTCACTTACTGTAGCTGGTAATTTTATGAGCAACACCACTTATGACACTGGCTAACATAAAAGGGTAATTGAATCTCATGACTCAGGGTGTAATTAATACAATTCCCTATGAAGGGGTCAGGAAGGCATCTCTCACATCAGCCTATGTGGAATGGGTAGCACTACAGAGTTGGCCAAACGCATTACAGGAGTGCTCTTCTGAAGCTTCAAGTATTTTTCACTGCCCGAGGCAGAATACAGGACTTGATGGACCAGCATGTTGACCTGCTGTAGGAAGTTCTATATTCCTAGTCAGATGAGAGGAAACTAACAACTGTACAAGCAATTAACTGGGGTTTTGGTGACAGCGTGCAAGTGCTTTTATTCTACTTGTAAGTTTAAGAAGTGTGGCAGGGATTCTCCCCTCTAGCACAGAGCTGAGAATTGGACACCAGTACAGGGCAGTTCCTTGATCAATCTCTTGACACATTCAGACTTTAAAGGAGCTTTGAATGAGCCATTTCATAGATACAACATTTACTGGAGGGGCAAAATGGAAAAACATTAACAGAGGAAGGGTGACATCCTTCAACTGTGGTACTTACATAACTGTATTGTCGTCAACTAAGATATCACAGCCATGAGCAGGGCATGAAATAGTCTGAAAAAGGAACAAACTGATCAAGTAAGGTCTTGGAATGGTTTTTTTGGTGCCCCTTTACCATCATGAGGAACCCCACAGGATTTTATTGCAAACTAGCCATATTTGCTCAACAAAATCAGACCTCCAGATACATCAGCCAGACCCACCTCTTTGAGCAGCATGATTACGTTCAACCAGGGCTGAGATGCTTATACAGGGTCCATACAGTTCCCCATGAAACTCACATGCACTCTGTAGATGAAGAACTCAACCTCCAAGATTTGTTTATTCATTTTTGTTAGAAAAGACTCCTGCCTCCATCCCATCCTTCCCTCTTCCCCAACACAAGACCAGCACAAGTCACACAGATCCAATATTTACCTGTCCCATGCCTTCCTCCATTATTTTGGTAGTTAAATATTCACTCCAGCACTGCATACAGAACTTATGTCCACACTCTAGGCCAGTAAAGTACTGCAACAACAAAGACATGACACTGTATCCATTCTGTCCTTCCTGGAGCTGTGCAGTTTTGCTTATTTCATCTCTTACTTGCAGTACAGAATCTGACTGTTCCAACAATACCATATTGTTTACTCTGCATCATTATCACACCACTACATTGTTACAGCAGCTTTAAATGTGCTCTCAATGTAGCTGCAGTCTGCATCCTTAACAGCAACAGGAAAAATGGAGGTATACGATTTGCCCCTCCCTCCTCAAATACCTCTAAGTTGTCCTTCATTTTAGGTTATGTCTACACGGAGCCAGGGGTGTGATTCCCAGCTTGAGCAGACGCACTCATGCTAGCTCTCATTGAGCTAGTCTGCTAAAAATAGTAGTGTAGCCATGGTAGCGAAAGCAGCAGCACAGATTAGCCCCCATCGAGTATAAACCTGCCCAGACCCCAGGGCTATGTTCTTGAGGCAGCTAGACCATGCCTCCATTGCCAGTGCTACCACAGCTACACTACTATTTTCAGCATGCTAGCTCAATAGGAGCTAGTGTGAGTATGTCTACTTGAGCTGGGAACCACACTCACACCTCTATCTAGATATGGCTTTTGATTTATGCACCTGGTATGAGAGAGCTTTTTTCCCTATCTTTATTACTGTAAGGCTGCTATTCTGTCATGGAGGTTGCAGAAATCATGGATTCTGTGATTTTGGCAACCTCTGGTTACTTTTGCAGCTGGCAGCCCTGGGAACAGTCAGCCCCGGGGAGCGCCCAAGCACTGGTCCCAGGAGCAGCCCTGGAGGCCAGCCGCACCAGCCAATGCTCAGGCGGCCACAGGGAGCCCCCAAGCAGTGGTCTTGGGGGCTGCCTGGAATCAGCCACACTAGCCACTGCTCAGGTGGCCCCGGGGAGCACCCGAGCAGTGGTCCTGGAGGCCTTGCAGCAACAGGTGGTTGGGGGCAGTCAGCCACCGCAGGGGCTAGCCGTCAGCCCCCGGGGCCCCACGAGCTGCTAAGTTTTAGTCAGGGGTATTTATATAGTAAAATATATAACACAGGTCACAGGCCATGAATGTTTGTTTATTGCCCATGATCTGTCCATGACTTACTAAAATACCCATGACTAAATCTTAGCCTTCACTGTAAGTCACTAACAAATGCTGCACCATGGAACTAGGGTTAGAGTTAAAATGATACCCACTGTTTTCTTTCCTGCACTCACATCCCTCCACTTGGAGGGCACACTCAGTCGCTCACAGTTCCAGAATGATTACCAACCACATTCTGCCTGAGGCAGATAAGATACTGCCCATGCAGGTAGAAGCAGAAAGGAATAAAGGGGGAACAGGATGCGTTATGGGACTAATGTCGAGTAACAGGAGTTTATAGCATTAGAGGTCTACGTGAACAGACGTATACAGTTAACTTTCAGAGGGGTAGCTGTGTTAGTCTGTATCAGTAAAAACAACAAGGAGTCCTTGTGGCACCTTAGAGACTAACAAATTTATTTGGGCATAAGCTTTTACGGGCTTTCACCCACTTCATCAGATGTATGGAATGAAAAAAAGTTAACTTTCAGTATGTCAACTTGCTTGGTAAACTCTTCAGTCCCTTTAGAACCCAGATGTTCATCTGATCAGAAGGCTGAAGAACCTATTGTTAGAAATAACTTACCAACTGAGATTTGAAACAATGTTAATCATGCAGACAGTGATCCAGCAAGGACAACTTTGACTTTCTATGCATTATCCTCTACACCAGTGGTTCTCAAACTTTTGTACTGGTGACCCCTTTTAAATAGCAAGTCTCTGAATGCGATTCCCCTTAAATATATAAAAAGTGTTTTTAATGAATAACATCATTATAAATGCTGGATGCAAAGCGTAGTTTGGGGTGGAGGCTGACAGCTTGCGACCCCCCATGTAATAACCTTGCGACCCTGAGAGGTCCCGACCCTCAGTTTGAGAACCTGCTCTATACAAGGTGTGCCAAAACAACTTGTGGGACTCAAGTGATTATGTTGGGGGGGGGGGGGGGAAGAGAGAGAGAAGAACTAAAGAACAACAAATAAGACTGCTAGAGAGAGTAACTTTGAAGTGACGGTACTATATAAATGAGACTCAGATAGGACAATTATGTTTCAAATCACAGGGGGGAAAAAATCTCCTTCACTACCACTGTGCAAGTTCTAGTTTCATATCATCTGAGGATTGAACCCTCATTTTATATGCTGCCTGTAAAGCACCATATACTTGCGTAAGGCTATACAGATAATAGGGTGTCTCCTGGACAGCAGGATGATACAATAGAAGCAAGATTTTGTCAATTAAAAGACCTTCAACTTGAAAAAAATCACTTTCAGAAAAAGTATTGTTATGAACAACACTGAAGATTACAAGTTTTATGTTTCTTTACTTTGGGCATCTGACACTGGAGTATAGTTTACCCTTCCTTCACTAGCATGACCACCCTACTAAGGTACCACTCTGGGGGGCACTCACCTATACACTCTTCTCAAGGCCCTGCTAGAGGGTCCCTTGGCCTCCACTAGAGCTGTCTAGATTAGTAGTTCTGCCTGGAGTCATCTCAGGTCCACTCCTCCTTCCCCTCTACTAACCTAGACAGCTCAAGTGCAGGCCAAGGGACATCTACACAGGGCTTTGCCTTTAAGTGGAAGCTTCCTGTGGGAGAATACCTTCATCTTCTGTCAGCACTCAGTTATCAATGATGCAGGCAGCTATAGGGCCATAATCTCCACATGGGAGAAGACCTGCTTCAGTTTTCAATTATTATTTGAACATCTGATTCAAGACGACATCTGAGGCTCTGCGAACATTCCTGTGCTCAAACAATGCTCCCCTGGGGATGGAGCTTCAGTCGATTGGCAAGGAATTCCCCCCCGAAGTTTTGAGAAGTCTCTGGTACATTTGGGTGGAACTATGGGAGACCAAAGATTTGAAGATTGTGCTGGTTTACTCCAGATCTATGGTTACCATGGCACAGAAGGTTCATCTGCATGGGGTGGGGGTTCACAGCCTAAAACTATCATTAACAAGGATATCCTTTAACTATCCTTATCCAAGCAACTATACCAAAAGAAACACTGTCCCCAGAAAAGAGATAAATGTGTGTCCTTAGTGCAAGACTGATTTTGATAGCTTCCAGCAAGTAAGCTGATAGCTCCCTATTTCATGGTCAGTCACTGCCTCCTCCCAAGCTGTACAGAACATCTGCTTCTCTATCTAGCCATTTCTTTACTTTGAGGAACTTCCCTTCTTGTCAGTCAGCTTCAGACAAACTGAGAACCACCAATAAAGCTGCCCCCTCCACACACCCCTGGCAATTGATACAGCTGATAAATAACTATTCTGTTCCAAAAATGGCATATCATGGGCAGACATTACCTTACTTTCACCTTACCTTGCTATACTGATGAGATTCTAATGACCTCATTTGGGGGGCCAAGAACAGAGTCATTTTCCTGCTTTTTGCTTATGCCTATTTGCAAGAATTCTAGCATCAGTATTTTACTATCTTTTGATATCAGTGTCTGCTCTTTTGTAAGCAATAACTGAGCAAACACAGCAAGGACTCTGCTGATCCAAGACTGACATTTTCCCGAGCAGCATTTTTCTTCTTTAGTAAATAGCTCAGTGAAAGGTACCACAGTGACAGATCCAAGGAAGCCATCTATATGTCCACAGAATAAGTGCATCGCCTGGACTACAGAACAAGCTTCCCAGAAACACTACCTGTTAATGCTCCCATCAAATTTGACCTGAAGGGACACTGGGGCAGCAGAGAGGACTGAGTTCTGTCTACATAGTCCTTTCAATTCTTGTCCTCACCTCGAAGACTGCCAAGAAGGGGTCACAGTGCAATTAGTGACTGGCTGACACCTATCCATTAGGAACCAAACAGACCAACAAGTTTCACTTAGGCCACCAAACTGTCACTGCTGGATTCAGACTTGTGATATAGCAGCAAAAGGCTCTTAGAATCATAGAATATCAGGGTTGGAAGGGACCTCAGGAGGTCATCTAGTCCAACCCCCTGCTCAAAGCAGGACCAATCCCCAATTCTTTTGCCCCAGATCCCTAAATGGCCCCCTCAAGGATTGAACTCACAACCCTGGGTTTAGTAGGCCAATGCTCAAACCACTGAGCTATAGTCCCAGGACCTCTTCTCCAACCGGTATTCCCCACCATTCTCAAAACATGTATCATGGTGGCCATCATTCTGCCAGTTGAAGTTGGGATTCAATAAAAATCTCTCCTGAACAGGCCAGATGGGTTACTATAAAGGAACACAAAATTTACACTCCCACTAGTCAGAGAAGGCAGAGTGTGACGCCAGCTGCGATCTCTGCACCACAAGTTGTCTCTCGTGAATTTTTAGCACTTCTTAAAATTTAAAACATCTGAAATCCCCAGCATTTTAAAAGCAGGAAGGAATTCTTACCAAAACTGCAGTGTTTTGGATCACCTAGGAAAGAAATCAAAGCTGTTCAAAATTAAGGAGGTAAAGAATCTCGGATTTTTAGGTTAAATGTTCACCTTTTAAAAATGTCTATTTCTATCTATATATATATATCCCATAGACTCATAGGACTGGAAAGGACCTCAAGAGGTCATCTAGTCCAGTCCCTTACACTCAAGGCAGGACTAAGTATTATCTAAACCAGTAGTCACCCATCAGTCGATCGCAATCCATTGGTCAATCCTGGAGACTCTCCTAGTCTATCACTGTCTCCGGTGATGCAGCTGGGCTCCCTGGTTGCCCCGCCCGACGCCACTCCTGGAAGCAGCCAGCATGCCCCTGTGGCTGGCAGGGGTCCCCGCATTGCTCCTGTCTGTAAGCACCGCGCCTGCAGCTCCCACTGGCCGGGCACGGGGAACTGTGTCCAATGGGAGCTGCGGGGGGCTGTGCCTGCAGAGAGGAGCACCCCAGGAGCTGCAGGGGCACACTGGCCCCTTCCAGGAGCGGTGTGGAGCCGGGGCCGCCTGAGGTAAGTGCTGC